CTCGCTTTTTGCCAGAGGTTTGCTTTATATATATAATTTTTTTTGGTTCCGATTCCCCGATTCTGCCGACAACGACGACGACAGCGATGATGATACCACACACACCCGTATTTGGTTTGTTGTGTGTGTTTGTGGTGTGTTACGTTTACGGTGCGAGAACGGAACAAAAAAAGTTCTAAATAATGACGGGAGCAGGGGCAGCAACAACACCAACAGCCACTTAGAATGATAAAACAAACACTGGAACAACGGAAAAACAACAAAAGCTTCAGAGAGGAGCACACACTCACGCACACCCCTGCGAAAAGTGGGTGGTGTTGGGGGGATATGTATGGAGGAGGGTCAGGGCTGGTTGGCTCGCTCGCACTCGCACGGCAATGACTTTGAAACACATTTGACGGGAGAGGAAGAGGAAGAGCCATACTTGATCACGACACGAACAGCAACAAAGCAGATGAGATAACCAACATCCCCACCACACAGCAACAACAACCATAATAGTGAATATTATTTTTGCCCCGAAGAACGTTTCTGATGTGCTCATCAGTGTTGTTCATTCTCCATAGCAAAAGAAAATCAGAACGTAGATGCGATACCCTGTATCCACATTAAATTTTAGCCAAAAGTTAAATTTATTTATTTATAATTTATTTTATTATATTACCTACAATAATTATATTATTGAATCTTTATTTATGGTAAAGTACACCCAAAAAGCATTGATTTTTACTTTATTAGTCACCAAATATTATAATAAAAATAAATAGGCTATTTAATTATTAAATAGCTTAAAATAAAAGCTAATTTTACGAGCGCCATCTCTGTTTCCCGTCCATGTGCTCACACAGCTAAATAATTAGCATTTCTGGCTATTACTGTCCCTTTCCCACGCACAAGCAACACACGGCGACCAGCAACCTCATGACAACCCAATTCACCACGCCAAAGCGGGCGCAAAGGTAAATGAACTGCCCCGTGGGCGCTCTTCTGTCCCTCTCTTCCTCCCACTCGTGCGTGCGCAGCGTGTGTGTGTGTATGTGAGCAAGCTTATTTCAATGCCAAGGTGATGGCCTCGCCACGCTGTCTCTCTCGCGCGCTGTGTTGCGCGACTGTTTGTCTCGCTCAAACTGGCCACCTTCTACAGTTTTCTGCTCTACTGTTACCGTTAAAACTTAAACTTAAAACAGTTCAAACATTTTTTACAACGAAAAAATCGCAACCGAAGGAGCAGCCGCAGCGAACCTCTCTACGTACACGTATTCACAATCCAATTCAATCCACTCGGCAAACTCACTCGAGTCGCGTTTGAATTCGCAGCGGTGGCGCGCCCTCGTCGAATCACTAAATGTGGGGGCGCTGGCGTAGGACAAGTACGAGATTACGAGTGAGTGAGTGAATCTGAATAGTGTGAATGCCTTATATTCGTAGCGGTTTTGTGAATTTTGTAACAGGCTCTCATATGTTGGGGACCAATGAGCGAGCAGCAGCCCCCTTGAAGCACGAAAGAGATGAATATATGCCGCAAATGTTTGCTCAGTGCCGCGACTCTCTCTGCTCAATTCGCTGAGAGCCTGTTAACTGTTTTAGTTAAAGAGCAATCCATTTTGTTTTGCCACAAGGAAAAGGAGTAGCGCCTATGTTCTGTCCCCATCGCCAGCGCACACACTATAGTCATCTCAGTTTGCACGCATCGAAAGCTAAGGGGAAAGAAATGTGGGAAAGAGTGCGAGAGTGCTTAAGGCGAATGCAGCTGGAGTTGTTTTGTTTTGTTTATTTTTTGCATATGTATCTAAAATGTGTTATGAGGTTTCTCAATGTATTAAATCCTAGCGTTCTAGGTTTGTTTATTAAACAAATTTAAAGCTCTGTTTTCTGAACAATAATTAATCATTATTTATGTAGTCCCCCTTAAGCTTTAAGCGCATTTGCACAAAAGCTGAACAACGACAGTTTTTAGCTATCTTCAAATTGTAATTGGCAAAAACGCAGCTTATTGTCAAAGCTCGAACAAAATACAGCATTTCTTATTGGCAATCGGAATATATTCTAATTGGATGTTCATTTGTATAGTTTTTAATTCCTATTAGAAATCTAAGCTTCTCTATGGGAACCTGAGAAAGTTTTGTTTTCAAAACGAGCTTAACTTCATTCTAAGCTGGAAGACTGAGGCTCCATTTGTTTTGTAGGTGTAAGCGAGGGGTGTTGGGGGGTGGTTACCCTTTCCCTTTCTCGTCTTTTTGGCTTTCTGATAAAACTTTGAATCCGCAAAGCACGAAAAAAGCATTAACAAACGCTTTTTAAATGTGTGCGTGAGGTGAGAAGGTGCTTTTGATTTAATAAAGTTTATAAATGCCTTTATCCCTCAGATAAGAATATCTGAAGATCTGAAACATAAACCCCACAAAAGATTTTTTAAAGAATAAAGAAAACCTACTTTATTTAGAAATATCTTATGATGCGTTCTTTAATTACTGATCTCATTGATCTTTGTCTTTGTTAATCTTGATCATTTGTTTATTTTTGTAAGTTGTATAGTTTTTTTTAACCTTTTAATAAAATTTTATGTCATAAGCTTGTTACGTTGAGAAGTAGTAATTTCCTACCCTATAAATATATTTATTCTTGATGAGTTATGCGTTTTTTAAACATTGATTTGCCTAAAAAAATGGTTATAAATATGAATAAAGAATGCGATATTTTAGCTTAATTATGATCGATATACGATTCGATCATATATTGAATTTCACACTTCAAGTGTATATAAACCTCGGCTTCCTGAAGTTAGCTTTCCATTCTTGTTTCTTTTAATTTCAAAAATTCACAGAGATACAATGCTTTTTCGGTTAAAGTTCTTAGGCTTATTTGTGCTTGTCGTCGAACTTTTACACACACTCACTGGAAGGGAGAAGCGAGACGGCGGTGCACAATCTTCTGGAAGGCGAAATGCAGCTTGCAAAACAAGTTTAGAACTTGAACTTTATGTGAGGGAGAGAGCAGCGCATCGCCGCCCACCGGAAAGAGGGAGAAGAAGAACTATGGTTTCGAAAGGTAACCTGAGAAATACTGAGAATTGCTCCTCTCGCCTCTCCTCCAACATCATCATTCTGTGGGCTATTTCAATAATAAAAGCACTCGTTCGTCGGAGGTGAACTTGACAGATTTAACTTTTTTCAAGTTTCGTTTCGGAAATAACGAAAAGCGGGGCGCCGTCCGTCTCGCAACTTTGGCAAGTTAATTTCGCATGGAAGCTACTATGGCTACAGTTTTTGAAAGTTCTTGTGCTGGGCGCTGAAAATCGTCGAAGGCTTTAGCAGGGCGATATGTATTTGTTTCTGAAACAGGTCGATGATGCTATAAGCGTAAGCGTTTTATATATATGTATATAGATATTTTTTTGTTTTGTTTTTAGGTTGCCGAGAGCTTAAACAGCTTTTTAGTTAGCTCGGCACATTATGGGAAAGTGTTTATTTGTGTAAACAACTTGAAATAATCTGAGAAAGACAATTGACATTATTAAACTAAGGAAATTTTCAAGAAATGGATATATGTCATGTTTTTTGACAAGGAAATACAAAAATTAAATATGTATATCTTAAAACTACTTATAATTTTCCCTTATAACTTTCCCTTAAAAAAACAAAATATATAAGATATTACAAAATAATTCACTTTGATTTACAAAATTAAGCATTTAGCAAGATGGTTAAGATCCCCAATTAAAACTTAGCATTGGTTTCTTTTTAAGCAGTGTCGTAGTATTATACAAAAATAAATGTAATTTAAAAGCTTATACTAATTACACTTAAATGAATTGGCTTTTCTTTAATTGTCTTTTAATTCAAAATATATAAATAACCATATATTTATAAATACATTTAAATTATTCCACCAAACCAAAATAATACATTAAAATTCACAATTAACCTGTCCGAAAAGATTAAATAAACGAATTCCAGAAACCCCAATATAATTAATTTATAGTTAAAGAATCTTTTATAACAACAAAGTTAATACAAAACATACGGAAACATTCTCATTTGCAGCCATTTCCGTTCGAATCCGAGAGAGTCTTCCCCCACACACGCTCTTTCGTTGTGTGTCTACAAAACCGTTATTCGAATGAACGAATTTTTGTGTCCTGAAAATTGCACAACTCATTCGGTGTAGAATTATTGTAATCCCCACCAGGCTCACAGAAACCGTTAGGCTAGCTTTTGGCGCCTGCTGTCTTCGGAGTGCTTTTCGCCGCGACCGCTTGCCGCTGCGAGTGCGACAGAGACGACGGCTGTGAGCAGCTTTTGCCGCCCCAAAATCGGAGTGCCGACATCTCGCTCACACTCAGTGCTGCACTGTCGGTGAGACCGTACAATCGAGTAGTGAAGAAAAGACGCCAAATCATGAGCTTTTTCCGCTGCGCCCCTGTTAATAAATTCACAAAAAGCCAAAATAGCGCGGAACGTATTAATCGGGAAAAAAATCTAGAGAGGAAAGAAAAAGTGCTCGATTTCAGTGCATTCGGGTGGCTGCAGTTGGGGGATTTATAATTTAATAAAGTTATAATTGATTGTACTCGTATATTTAAATCAATACATATTATTTTTACGTTTTGAATGGAACAAAAAAAGTAAAAATATTTTGCTAACAAATTTGGTATTCTTTGGTTAAATTATTTAAAATACTTAGCATTAAATGCTGTATAAAAAAATAATAATACTTTATATATTGCAATATTTAAATTGGTTTTATTTCATAAAGTCCTATACAGAGTTCAACAGGCTTAAAAAATAAACAAATAGTTTAAACATTAAAGCTAGTTCTTTTAACAAAATGGATTCGATAGATTAAAATTCAAATACATATGTAGGAGCCTGTCCAAAAAAATATAAAAACAGTTTTTATTGAAGGCATTTGCATTTGCAATCTTGAATTTAACTAAGAAACAATAGTAGAGGATTAATTAATTTAATTATTGATTAATATTAATTACCGATTTATTGACAATGTATTATTTATTATATTCATTACAACAAAAATACTTCTCACAATAGACACGCATTCACGCCAGTTAATCCTTTTCAGCTTTAGAGTATCTGTAATATTGCTGATATTTATTATCTATATACATATGTACAAATGCATATATATATAAATCCTTTTTATATACCGGCCTACTTATTAATCAATTCGCTTGGTGTATTTATTTTCTGTACCGACTTCTTGAGGTACCTCTTTTAGGGTAGGTATCCTGTGTGACTTGCCATATGTGTTTTAAGATGACGTTTTAGGGGAAAGGCCATCGGGCAATTTCACACTTGTAAGGACGTTCGCCTGTGTGGATCGGGATGTGTTGCTGAAGATTGCTTTTTGTGAGAAATACTTCTGGCAATAGGAACACTTGTAGGGCCGTTCTTCTGTGTGGGTCCGGATGTGGCGTTGCAGAGCTCCGGTTTGTGAGAAGGCCTTCAGGCACAGGGAACACTGGTAGGGCCGTTCTCCTGTGTGCGTCATCAAGTGCATTTTAAGATGATATTTCTGTGAAAAGACTTGGGGCACTGTGTACATCTAAACGGTCGCTCTCCAGTGTGGGTCCGAATATGCACTTGCAGGTTTCCCTTTTTGGAAAATGACTTCTGGCAGAATGAACACTTTAGAGCTTGTGTAATTCCTCATCTTTGGTGCTATCAAGAATATCTTTAAAGCTAGGATCAGGGGTTCCAACATCAAAGTGGGAAAGCAGCAAGGGGTCCTCACCAAAAGTATCATCTCCGGTTGGCTCGCTTTTGACTTTCAATTGGACCTCGGCTCTTTTTGATCTGCGCCTCTTAGCCATTCGATTTCTTTCTTTTTCCCCTTGTTTTGTATCATATTCATTTAGCGCCTCATCTAGGCAATCTGTGCAAATAGTTTCAGGCAAGGAATCCTCTCTACAAACTTCAATTCCAATCCATCGAGCAATGATTTCTGCCAGAGAAATTCTTCTTTTTGATTTGCTATTAAAAATGTGGACCAAGCTATCCGAGGATTCCTGGCAAACTCGACACACATTCCTGAAATTAAATAATTTGTATTTAATATGTTAAAGGGTTCTAAGGGGTTGTTGTTACTCTTCCATAGTGCTCGATTTGAAGCTAAAACTTTGCCCTAAATCATTTGAAAGGAAAAGCTAATCTTTTGTTTATTTTTGTTTTGTTCAGAATAGTGTGACCACTATGGGAATGTTAAAAAATATCCTTTGAACAGTGAAAATATACTGGAATATACTGAAAAAGCTGTATTATGGATTGGTTCTAATTTTTAGCAGACGGTTTGAATTTAAATTTAATTAATTTTATTTCGGTGTTCATTGGGAATTTTAGTGTTACTCTCAATATTATTAAACGTGAGTTTTTTAATTAACGTACTGTAAGCGTCCCCATAAATGTTCAGGAAATTCGACAACTCTGTCAGTGCATTTCTTGTGCATTCCCTTCTGATTGCAGTCATCTGCGAATGAGTCTATTTTTAACTTTTACAAGAAATTGCAGCAAATAAATTGAACTTCGTTAATTGTCGCTTCAGCGTTTAGAGGTAAGTTCTTTTTTTTCTAAAAGATAAAAACTGATGTTAGGAGAGGAACTTAAAATCTATTATTTAACAAGATGAGAATATATTTATAACATTTCTCGAAATCCTTGCTATATTTTAATATTTTCAGAAGTTACATAAGAGCTAAAAGCAAATATGGCCCTGCCCGAAGGATTGTCCAACAAAATGAAGGTTTTCCAGGTGTGTTATGTTATCCTTTGTATATATTTATGATTCTTTAATGTTATTTGTGTGCTTTTTAGGCAGTAACGAGCTGCCCGTTTTCCTGAAAGGTGGGCCAGCGGATAAGATCTTATTTGGCATAACTGCTGGATTGTGCGGCGTTGGTATCATAAGCTTTGTCCATTTGGTCTACACAATGGGATTTGCCAAGAAGAAGGCTTAAATTAAGTGTTAAATAAAAGTTTCCTTAATTAAAGAAAATGCCATAAGTTAAATTACAAGTTGTTTTTGTTTATGTTTCAAAAAGCCCGCCTAACAGAGCATACGCATAATATTTCCTGAAAGAAATAGAGAAACACTGTTATGCTCAGCCAAATTAGCGTCAATGAGCGTCGAAATAGAACGGTGGGAAAATGGAACATGGAGGGGATCTTTAATATTTAATTTATTTCATAATTAAGGCACTAATTCGAATAAAATAAAGTTTCTAAATTTATTGTACTTTTACTGTACTTATTTTAAATTTCTTCAAACCGTCAGTTTTTAAGCAAACCACATAACCTCGGGACGGCTCCATACAATGTAGGGCATCCAAAAATGTACGACTTATAACTACGATTTACGAACGCGTGGATATATACACGGTATATAGGCTTACTAGGGGAAGATTAACGAATATTTTCTGAAAATTTCAATTGATTTTAAACGTCAGATTTCGATAAAATCGAATAACAGTGTGTGGTGTATTTGGGCTGATAGCTAAGGCGGGAACTATGAAAATGGAACCAGATGGGAACCTGTCGAGAACCACTCGCTGAACCAGCGAAGAATAAATATATCCGGCATCACTACCTGTTTAAATAAGTCAATTTGATTTTAACTTTATGGTTAAACCCATGCAATATTAAGGTAATACAATAAACGGCATCACAGTTCTGAACATTTTGATCCATGTTTTATCAAAATCCGTTCAGTCGTTCATAAGAAATCCCGACTTTTTCATGTATTTCCATTTATGTGCCGGTGAAATATAAATACATATATCCGGCAGCCCTGTCTGCCTAAAAACAAGAATACTTGATTAAAACTTTATGGTTAAACTTATGCAAAAGGAAGATTGTCCCATAGACGGAATTGCAGTTCTGAACATTTTGATATATGTTTCATCGAAATCCGTTCAGTCGTTAATGCGAAACCTTGACTTTTTCATTTATTGCCATAAATGTACATATGTATTTCTGTATGTTCGACGAAGAATATTAAAGAATAAAAATGTGATTTAAACTTAATGGTAGGACGTATGTATGCAAACGCAATAAAGGGCATCGCAGTTCTGAACATTTTAATCCATTATATACTAGTGAGAGTCTTCTATATGACTAACTGTAAAGTTTTATTTAGATAGCTTTAAATATGAGGTCTAATTCCTTATAATTGGACAGACAGACAGATGGACATGGCTAGATTGACTCGGCTGTTGATGCTGATCAAGAATATATATACTTTATAGGATCGGAAATTATTTATTTACTGCGTTGCAAATTTTTGACCTGAAATCATATGACAAAGCAAGGGCATTAAAGCACTAGATTTGAGAAGCAAATTTTCGAAATAACATTTAATAGTCTTCCCAATAAATGATATCATTATTCTAAGCAATTTGGTAGGTGTTTCATCGAAATCCGTTCAGTAGTTTTGGAGAAATTAACATTTGAATTACTAATTTATGTACCAAGGAGGCATGACTATGCACCCCTGGTATCAACTGAAATAAATGAAAAAGTCGGGATTTCTCATTAACGACTGAACGGATTTTGATGAAACATAGATCAAAATGTTCAGAACTTCGCTGCCGTCTATAGGACTATCTTCCTTTTTCATAGGTTTAACCGTAAAGCTTAATTCAAGTTTTCTTTTTATTTGGTAGGCAGGGCTGCGGGACACATAAATGGAAATAAATAAAAAATCGGGATTTCTTATGAACGACGGAACGGATTTTGTTGAAACAAGGATCAAAATGTTCAGAACTGCGATCCCGTTAATGGTACGATCTTTATTATGCATAAGTTTTATAATAAAGTTAAAATCAAATTGACTTCATTTTAGGCAGACAGTGGTGCCAGATATATTTATTGTGCGAAACAACATTTATGGAAATAAATGAAAAAGTGATGTTTTCTCTTGAACGGCTGAACGGATTTTGATGAAACATCTACCAAAGTGCTTGGAAAGTTAATTCCATTCATGGGGCATGCATATTTTATACAATTGCTTAAATGGTCTATAGGAATATTTTCTGGCGGGCTGTTCATCGATAGGGTGTGGAAGTCACCCCTATCGATATGAAGCTAGTGCTTGTGAATGAGATCGGAAAAATCAAACGCTAATTTCTCTGCGTTAGATTTAATAGAGATTTAATTCAAATTATAGAATATTTTTCCCTATCGTTTGAGATACCGTGCAACTTTGCACGCGTTTATTTAAGGGCGTAAGATTTTTGTAAAAGTTTGCGTCGATTTGCTTGTCGGGGAGCGGCATAACATTCCGCAATGGTGTATACTAAAATAATCTAAAAGAACGAATAAAGGCAATTTTCCGTGACTTAGATGAAAATCCCACCAAATTTTTTGAATGTCTTTTCCATTTATTGGGCAGTCACTTTTTTTTAATGTTTTATTCAAAAATTTGCAATTATTATTTAATTTAGTATTTTTCTTAACATGGTTCCATGGTCTGGTTCAGTGAGTGGTACTCTGCTGGTTCCCATCTGGTTCCATTTTCATAGTTCGCGCCTTAGCTATCAGCCCAAATACACCACCCACTGCTACTCAATTTGAAACTAGGTAGGGTAAAACTACAATAAATGTCCTTTATTTTGGCGTATCGGGCATTGGTGCAAGCGTTTGATTAGCCAAGATATTAAGAAATCATGAAAACACTATTTTGCACATGCTTTTTTCCTAATATATCAAACCGTCAAATATTTTCAAACCCAGTAAAAAACAATAGTAAATTAATTTTTTAGCATTTAAAAACCTTATTTTATTCGAATTAGTGCATTAATTACGAAATGAATTTAAAAAAAAACTCATCGATGATAATTTGACGAAAATGCCCAAGTTTGGTATTTTAGCTTACCCAAAACTCTGGTCACACTCGAACACTAGAAAAGAAATAAAAACAAAGGCATTTTTGTGTGTTTCGAAAATTAGAATATAGCTGATTTATCAGACAAAATGGAGCCCAACGATGAGGTGGTGGAACGCCAGAAACTAGTGCCAAACGATGTTGAAACAGAGGAGGAAGCCCAAAGCCAAAGTGCACCGAAATCAGCTCAAACCCCCCCTCACCCGCCGTTCCCAATGTAAGAAAGTTCTCTCACATTTTCACGCCCCAAAAATGATTATCAATGTTATTTTTTTGTATTAGATCAAAATCAAAGGCATCTCCAGTGGAGAGACGACACGCAGTAGAAATTCCGCATCCTGCTCTATAGAGCGCACGATATCCGAAAAGGAAAAGGACAAGGGCCAGAGCCAGGGACAGTCGACGGCCGCCAAGGTGACATATGTGAACGAGAGACGGCCACGCCCGCAGGCTCATGCGGGAGGTGGCGGTGGCGGAGATGAGCGCTTCGAGTTCAAGACCAGGCCACGCAAATTGCTCAAAGGTGGGTAAAACTATAAACGGACTTAATCTCCGCTGTTCCCCATTATTGCCTTTCAGCTGACAGTTGCTGTGGAATGGCGCGGCTTTTGGTATCGTCGTCTATATGTGTGCAGAATCCCGGCAGTTATAGCTTTCCCAAACTTAAAAACACATCTGTGACTAATAGAAACCCTGCACAAAAGTCTTCTGTTTAGTTTGAATGCCAATAGTTTGCTTAAAATGATTGAGTTTGAATTTTTTGTATGGTAAAATATTAATTTTTTGAAAATTCTACGTTGCGGACTGAAGAAACTTTATTCCAAGCACTTCAATGTATAATTATTTCCTTCATTGATAACGCTTTTAACTAATTACTGGTTATCATGGTCATCCATGGTCTTCGCCAGCGATGACGCACTTGCCAAGTGTCCATATGCCGGGAATACATTACATTTGATTATTCACAGTCCATATATATAAATATGTACAAATATATATAGGTACACGCACCACAGACTGAGGGCTTGGTTGTTATAATTTCAATAATTGAACAAGCCTTTGAAAGCATTAACACCCGACGCCACCCCATGCGAAAAGTAAACAGCCTGCGGAGGAAGCTTTTCCTTTTTCTGTGCGGTTTGCCTAATCCATCGGTTCGGTTCTCATGGTGCTGTGTTGTATATTATTCAGAAAAATTAACTGAATACATTTCGAATTTGTTCTTTATAATAATTCGGATATTTTTAAAACGAAAAGCTGACGAATACCTTTTGAAAAAGTGATTTGAGCGTATTTACTTTGTTTTTACTATTAAACATCTCCTTTTTAGAAGAACTGAGTACTTTCTTTTGTTTTTAAATTATTTATTATGTATTTATAATATATATTCTTGAATTAAAATTAAAATAGTGGTAGAGATTGCCTTGATTTCATATATTTTTAACTTTTTCTTTTACTTTACCTTATTTTATGGTTTTTAATTGTAGTAACTTTCCTTTGATTACTTATAATTTCGTTGTTTCTTGTATTTATTATTTGTTATTTCCATATATTGTGCCCGTATGTATCGCTTAATGATGTTCAGATCGCGATGAATTGGAACCCACACACAACAGTGCCAACAACTTGAATGCCATCACATTGGTGAGCAGCGAGTGGCTAGCACCTGATCCCTCCACAACCAACAACAACACCACACCAAAAAACACCAAAATCATCATCAACAACAACAACAACAACGATAGTTCCAAACCCAATAATAACACAAATAGCAATCCGAACACACCACGGTCCCAGCGTCGGAAGAATAATCCCACAGCTTCGATGCCAAACGCCGCCACCAATGTCCACAACAATAACAGTAGCGACAAGTTCGATGATCGTCCAATAAAGCATCATTCCTTTGTCTCCGAAGTACCCGATGTGAAGCATATGGAAAGAGCGCTCCTTGGACTGCTGGATGACTTTCATTCCGGCAAGCTGAAGGCATTCGGTGAGTGAATTAGAAATAATTTACCTCTCAAACCTCTTAACTACAATGAATCCGATTTAATTCCAAGCAGGTTCCGGCTGCACCATGGACCAGATGACCAAGATCCGTGAGCAGCAGGAGAGCCTGGCCAAATTGCATTTCGAGCTGGCTGCCGCCGAGGAGGATTCCTTGGAGCATGGCAACGAGTTCAACACCAACAAGGCGCAGGAGAATATGCTCCAGCTGATGCAGCGCCTCGAGCAGCTCTCCATTTCCATTGAACAGCTGCAGACAAGCCACACGGGTCTCTGAGAGTTGGCCCAGCCGCAGGCCTGGGATCATCGCCTGCTCTGGCTCTGAGAAAGGATAACAGCCGACGGGGGGATTTGCAGGAGTTTTACACGAGATTAGCGGGAGAATTCTGGACTTTTCTGTAAATATTTAAGTTCGTACGTACGCTTAAGTGGGAGGATCCGGGATAGGCTTTTTATGCTAAAAAGAATATTAGTTAAGCAGACAGCAAAAAAACAAAACAAAAGAAAAAAAAAACTCGCAGTGATTGTGAAACTAATTTAGATTGTCTTCGCATAGCCATAGCAAATAGCGTTAAATTACAACTAGAAGAAGATGGTGCCAAGTTCTGGTGCTAAAATTAATTATTTCGATTTGATTATGTGCTGCAGGTTATCAGGCTTCAATTTTAATGAAAATCTGTTTCGCTTATTTGTTTGTTACATAGTTATTTGCAATATATAAATATATACATACACACGTATTCATATGAAATGTACGAAACTTGAAAACCTATTAAAGTTATCATTTTTATAATAATTGCTGATGAAAGAAGTTTTTTTAAAGGGTTGTATCGATATTTGACCTGAAAATCAATATTTAAATCGAAATTTAAAGATTTATAGATAATAATTGCCATATTTTTCTATATTTAAAATTGCGATATAAAAAAGTTTACATTATTTTCGATAGGATATTGAGAACAATATATTATAGACGACGTTTTTGGTCGATATTCATCTTTAATCTTTACCTTTTCTTAACTTTTTAATGGAATTACTCAAATTTAAGACCTTAATTATTGAAATATTAACTCCTAAAGTAATGATCTAGAATCAAATTAGTTTTAAGAATTATTTTTAATATTCACAACAGCACATTTGTCATGGCGCTTAAGAGTGTTGTCATTTGTATATATTTTTTAGCAGGTTTTTAATTCTTATTTAGGAAGCGGAATTCCCTAGCACACCCGAAAATGCGACGTCCCCATTCCGGCGATTAACATCGGTGGCTCTCAAAGACGCCCACCACAGGCGGGATTCCGTTCTGCATGCACAATTTCCATTTCGGGGATGGGCTCCTCGTCAACTGTGAGAAGTTGTGGTGGTGGTGATGGTGGACCTTTGGACAAGTGCATTCGTACATAGGAAATTCTTATTCCGCCGCTGTGTTTTGAGTTTGTGGTTTAATTTATGCATTTGTATTCAGCCGGCGTCGTCCTCGGGCTCTCTGCTCCTCTTTTCCTCCATCTTCTGGGCTGTCATTGCGCAGTCGCAGCCGGGTTATGTTGCCTTTTGGATATATTTCTCCGGCCGTTTTCTTTCGTATGTTATTCTTGTTGTTTTTTTTTTCTTTTTATTTTTATTTTCTTTTATTTGTAATCGGTAAAAGTAATTTGTTGTTCGTTCTTTCTTTTAATGTTGGTGTAAATCCGGGTCTCAAATAACAAGAACTGTGCACGAGGAGAAAATTGTATCGGATTGTAAATATTGAATAGAGCAAGTTTATTTGGGAACTTAATTAAATTAAATATTAATAAAAGAGTTAAGAATACAAAAGTTATATTTATGTATGCAATTATTTCTTTTAAGAAATTGTTCAAGAACAGAGTTGCATAGCATTAAGTTATTTAATTTAATCATTTTCCATAATCTATAAATTATATAAAGTTCTTAATAGTTTTTATATATTTCAGTATTTAATATTCACTATTTAGAAATCAGTATTTAACCAAAACTAAAAAGTAAACTATCTCTCTAATATTTAAATTAAAAATAGATGCAGTTACTGTAAAAATTCCTAACTTTTTTAATACATTAACAACATTTTTAGATGACAATTTCTCAACAAATCAAAGTTTAGAAATTTCATAACTAAGCCAAAAATGCATTAATTTTAATTCGAAAAGCTCTCCCATGTAACTTGTTATTAGGTTTATAAATTTGCATACCCAATTTAAAAGTTCAAATTTGTATAAATTTTGAAAATGTTAATGATGTAACCCCTTATAAAATTTTTGAAAATTTTGAAAATTAATTTATGCCGGACATAGCTAGATCGATTCGGCTTTTGATGCTAATCAATAGTATATATGATTTATAGGGACGAAAATGACTCCTTCACTGCGTTTTGAGCTTCTGACTAAAATTAAATCCCTTAGAAAGATTTACAAATATAGTTGCGTTTGTCTCAGTGTACTCCCACTTGTTGCTGCCACCGTTCACATTTTCTTGTTTTATTCTTGTGGCCGAAACTCTTTGGGCTTCTTTTGGGCCTCTCTGCTTAGCCTAGCGGTTTAGTGCATTCCTTGGTTCATCGTCGCCTCCGGTCTGTGGTACCTCTGGTACCTTCGATCTTCCATTTCCCACTCCAACCCGAGGGGCAGCACATCATTTGCGACGAGAAATGAAGAAATAAACGCTTGGACCGTCGCATCCGCCACGATGCATACAAATGCATACCTGACGGACCCAGGGAGCAAGGGCGTGGCGGCCACCGGCAACCAGAAACTACCAACGGGGCAAACCAGTAACACGCAACACATCTATCCCAAATTGCTGCCACAAGTGCCACCGGCCACCAGTCACTGCCACTTCCACTTCATCGTCCATGGATCCACGTTCCGTCACGTGCAAGGATGGGGTCGGGGGGAGATCGCGGCATAGAGGGACAGAGCTGGACATGGAAATGGGGAATATCCGCGGCCTTTTTAACCCAGGCAAGGCCCAACCCTGCACTGCAGCAAATATTTGGTACGAATTCTTTAAATTCTGATTTTGATTTGATTTTTTTATAAATCAATTTCTGAAATTATATTTTTAAATAAAAAATAATGATACACTATATAAATTGTTTACCGAAAACTGTAAGAAGTGGCCTTTAACTAATTTTTAAAATAATATTTTGGGAATATTATAAAATCGTTGGTAAATTAAAATCACATAAATCGGATTTGGGAAACATATAAATTTCTTATTTAAAGACAAGCATACTGCATAGTTTATGATTATATTATATGATTATATATGATTTTTATAATTGTATATAAATTGTATTTTTTAATTTATATTATATTTTTATGTTCGATCCAAGCAGATATAGATTTCTTTCTTCCTAAAAAGTATTCTTAATATATTAGAAATATATTTTTAACTTCAATTTCAACTTTTAATTTACAATTTATTTATAAAAAGTCTTCAGAAAAATATATATAATTATAGCATCATATAAATTATATAATCCTGGAATTAATAGAATAGAATAGAATTTTAAATTAAAAAACTTGAAATAAGGTTTTTGTAAAGATTTTAAAAGTAACCTTATTTCTTTTTCCAACTGTAACAAAACACCTTTAAGAACTTGTAACCCATCATAAAGTATCTAATATTTTTTCAAAAATATATATAGATATATGTATGTTCATATATATATTTTTTCCAAGTACAGAATGCGGCAAAGTGTCCGTGGTGGGTGCAACAAACAGGAGGGGATCCGATTCGTATCGCATCGGATTGGGATCGTTGGCAGTTCATCGAATCGAGTGTTATGTAAAGAGACGGCTGCCGAAAGAAGTCATTAAATATGTGAAGCGCATATCGAATTTCGAATGAATTGAACTTACTTGGCTTGGTCACATGAGAATTTGATGAACTGCCAAGCGGACAAGCGTCTGGGCCGAGGAAGAATGGGGGTTTCCAGCTTTGGGGGTATGGCTTTGGGTATGGGTATGGGTTTGGGAAAGGTGTTGGCCACAGCAGGAACACTTGTTGCCCTGGGAATCCGATATGCGGTCGTCGTCGTCATGGCACTTCATTAACCTGAACTCTGACTCCTCCGACGCTTGCACTTTGCACCCACTCAAAAGAATTATTTACGAGTTGTTTTACAATTTATATACATGAATTCCTTTTCCTATCAAAATTTAATGTCCCAAAAGACACATGTTGAAGAAAAATAAACCTTCAATTTAATAAATCCCACAGAAGCGCCGCTTTTTAAGTTTCTTAGAATTTTGAATGAAATTATATGGTAACATTATACATTTTCTTAATTTAAGAAACATAAGAGGAAAGAAAATATGTTGATTCTGCAGAAATATATAATTTGAAGTTTTTATTTTCCACAAGCGGATATTTAAGAAAACCTTAATGTTTCTAAGTAATTTGATTTTTTATATACAAATGATTTAGTTTTCTTTAAAAAGCAATAAACTTCATGAAACTTTAACTAGTATTCATTTTGAATTTAAAAAGCTTTTCAGGCGTTCCTTAAACTTGAACTTAAATTTATAATGAAGTATAAAAATAGAAGAACTAATTTTTATGAATTTAAATGACCAAACTTTTCCTAATAATAATCTTATATTTAAATAGTAATTTTCTAGTAAAGAGTTCTCTATGATATGTTTCTAAATAAAAAACCCTTTAAAAATACAACAAAAATTCTGAAAAATAAAATAATAATAAATATTATTAAATACCAGTCTTCCTAGTAAATTGAACCTGTTAATATTTTGTTAAAGTGTACCACTCTTTGTGCCTTTTGAGCAGCTTGTTTAAAGCCTGTTCCCGTTTCCAGTGGCTGTGTCTGGACTCTTAATCCTTGCCCACCCACGAACCCAAAACACACACTCAGAGAGGCGGAGAAGGATGAAGAGGACGCTGCTCTGGCTGTGCGGAAATTACGTTGCTGATGAGCAGCTCTGGAAAAGCGGAAGACGCACGGAGCTTTTCCACCTACAGGAAGTGCGACAAAATTCAAACAGACTCTGGGTCCCCCTTTGGCATCCCCACCAGTCTCTCTGTCTCTCTCTCTCTCTTCCATCCTGCATCCTGCATCCTGCTGTCGAAGCGGAAGCAAAAAGCGAAGAGTGAAAGGCACAAAGGGGGGCGGAGGAGCAGGAGCTGGAGATGGGTCAGGAGTGGGAGGCCAGCTGACAGTTGGTTGGGCTGGCATAAATGCGCACACGGCAAAAGGCAGAAAGTTTCCTGGCAGGAGCCAGGACTCTCCTCCGAAGAGGAAGTGACTAGTGGATTGGGTGGACCTGGGTGGGTTTTGTTATCGCTATCCTCGCTGCCAACACACACACAGAGACACATATACACCCGGGACATGGGAGAGAGGCGGGCAGAGGGCGACGTACTTTATTTCCTGAAAATGTCCTCGAAAATATGAACATTATATCCCGGAAACGGAAGCTGCAGCATTTGCAAGGAAGTGACGGCGGGGGCGGGCAGGAAGCAGGCCACCACCACCATAGCCGTGGTGGGTAGGTGGATGGAGCACACGGAGCACAAAACATTTCGTGGACATGGACATGAATGTGGATTTGGATGGGTTGATTAAAGCGAGTAAACAGCAGCGACAGGCGACCAGGATGGCAACGAGAACGAGGACATAACAGGACGGCGCTGATATGTACACACAAGTGGGCCAGGACACAGGACACGGGACACGGGACACAGGACACACAGCAACGAATGGAGGAAGCTGGCCAACACAG